CGTATATAATCATTTCATGATTGTTCAAATCTCTCACATCACATGCATAAACCAGATCGCTGGCCCAACTCGCACAATCAGAGAGGCTCAACCACACCGCTGCCAGCTCCCTCTGTCCGCTCTTCGTCCGCTCTGTCCGCTCCGTCCTCTACCAGGTGACCTTGCCGACGGAGCTGGAGCTCGTGGACGGCAGCGTCACCGTCTGAGACGGGCGTGTCCGACGCAGAAGAAAACCCATCCGATGAGGGCCCCTCGTTTAAGCTAAGTCTACTTAGTTGCTTAACTTTAAAGTCTACTGATAGCTAAGTCCAAGCGAAGTCTTAAGTCTTATAAGTCTTAGATTTCGAGGTTTTCTTTGACTAGCTGAAAACAGATATATCCTAAACATTCCTAGGCAAGTAATTTAGCTTGGAAGACGACTCAATCAAGAGATTGATTCAGTCAAGTGTTTGGTTTCTCTTCAATGGGGGGAACCTAAACCTGAACCCTTGTTGATGAAAAGACAAAAGACAAACAAGACGATATTTTTGACTTTAGGTCCTCTCCTCTCCTGACCGGCCTCATTCTGAGTCGGTGTTGGTGGGTATTGTTCAAGTTCTTTCTGAGATATCTCCCAAAACTCTGTCACCCTCCTCGACAACAAAATGTCACACACATGTTTCATGTCACATATCTCCCCATGCTTTTCTCCTTTCAGTCCACGACCCGCAATCCAAACGACCGCTACCTCCCCCACCGTGAACGCTGAAGAGCGACGAGCGACCGATTCAGGTCTCGTCGAGCTTGGAGATTCCCGAGGGCCAAGCCACGAGGCTCTTCTTGAGGGTGCGACCCAAGGAGCCTGAAAGAGGGAGCTTCTTAGAGGTAGCGGCCCGCCTTTTGGTGGTGGACAGTGAGGAAATGTGAGGAAAGCATGGTTTTAACAGCACAGATATATTGTTTGCATGAAAGGGTCTTTCAGCGGAAGATGCTGAGTGAAGTTGTGAACATACTGGCATATGATATGGCCGATATGAGATAGCCCACAAACGCTTTTGAAGAAGTGAGGAGTGATTCGTCATGGTCATTGGCGAGACACTGCAGAAAAGAACCTTTGCATCAACCCTACAACTCCAGGTGTATTAGGCTCAAGCGATCCTTCTTCCTCAACCTCCATACCCTTAAGCTCTAGTCTAAAACATCGGAATGACAACAAACAAGAGATTGGCTTATGATGCTAGTGACGACACCCATTCCACAGTTTCCCCCACAAAAACCGGCAACAACGTCCACAAATACCTCGTAAAATGAACAAATCAAATCAAACCACAAAGCCATCTAGCATATAGAATGATGGGACATGATGTCGTGTGTTAATGCTTGGGTCCCAACCCCCCTGTGACTACAAATTGGCAGGCGTCTACGATCTCATTGTTTTATATATTTGCTTTATTGTGATTCACCAGGAATATACCCCAAAAATGTACAAAACAGATTTTGACTACACCGTCGCCAATCATTTTGCAAGGACTTGCGCCTTGACATCTATGCATTTTGTAGTGAGAGAGGTTAGGGCCCAGCCAGTTTTACTAGAATGGTTGGCCCCAAGGTCTCGAAATCTTGACGATGCAAAAGACATGAATCTTCGACGCAAAGACTCAAAGATGCTGATAAGTAGAGCAACGATCATGTAACATGAGGTGACAAGGCCTATATGGATCCACCCTTTGAAAAGGTGCTCGATGACTTGGTGACACTCTTTCATGTACTTGCCAGGGTCACGTCGGTTTCCGGAACCCCTTCTTCAGCGACCTATGTAGATCCCCTGTCCCCGACCTGTCGAACTGTGCACCGAGCAGGAGCTTGGCAGCTGGCAGATCCTGTGCAGCGCCTCTGCCGGGAGCCACTCGGACGCCATGCGGAAGCCGCTCTTGGTGAAGCCCGAGGACCGCGCGCGTGGCCGGCGCTGGGCCGTGCTGTGAGTGAATTGCTTTTGAGTAGCCGAAGAGAAGCGGGTGATGACATGCTCTTAAAGTTAGCAGGAAGTGGACAGACTTCATTTAAATGACAAGCATGTTATGTGATAAATATCGTAAATATATAATATATAATATATATATGTGTGTGTTTACTTGAAGACTCACAAGATGTTCATCATGTTCGACCCTTCTGAATTGGAATTCTTGGGCGAACCAATGCAACACATCGGATGATCATCGCTTCAGTAAACTCCGACACGTTCCGGCACCACCTGACGTTTCGACTCTGAGCATGGAGCGTTTGGGTGATGGTTCTAATATGTGTTGACCACCGAGCAGGGAACGTCTTGGAGCCACCGTACCGAATTTGGGGAGGTTTTAGAGATATAGATCCCCCCTTGGTAGAGCAGACCATTTCACCAGCAGGTGTGGTGTGTTGGAACCGAGTTTCGCTGAGTTTCGTTCACTGCACTTGGTCAAGAGAGAATTGGCTGGGTTCATTGGCTGTTTGTTGAGAGTTGGGCCCACCTGACCCAACCAGTCAGTCTTTGCTCGTCATCCAGAGGGGTTTCCCTTTCGCTCGCAGGGCATTCCGGTCAGTCGCACCGAGACGATCGTGGTCGATTTGACTGGCCCGGCGACCCGGAGCGTCGCTAGACGCGCCGCGTGGGGTGGATGAATTGGGGGGGTGGTGAAACCCCTGACCCCCATGAGCTTTGGTCCATTTTCAGGGCTATTTGGGAGGTCTCCCGGTCTCCCTAAGGCCCTATTGGTTTCCCCGTTTCAATACACACCCATGTGTTTTCCACATGATCGTGTGGGGCTTCTTACCTCTTCGTCAGGTCTTGGCCTCCGCCTCCTGCCTCCGCTCCTCCCTCACACAACTCACACGACCTCAACTCACTTTGTGTTTGATGGTTTCGGGCCATGCCATGGCAAACAATGAAGCACAATTCAGCTCAACCACTCCTCTGAAACCATACACAATTCCCAAGAACATTGGTCTTGCTGCGCTGGTGCAAGGAAGTGGTTCGGGATGGGCCATGGGGGTTGAACCTGTGAGTGGAGGACCTTGAGTGTGTATGCAATACCTTGCAATTTCCTTAGTATCTAGACCTTCCGACGCTTGAAGTTTTCAAGGGATGTCTTAATTTGTGCTGCCTCTTAACAGAACATGTTGTCAAACGAGAGGCCGAGAGGCCATATACTGTGTGTTTATACTAGCCATTTGACATTATTTGTTTGACAAAAGCATGAGATGAAGAGTGGCAGAAAGTTGGTGTTTACATTGGATTGGAAGGGTTCTGTACTGCTAAATTCCACTGCAGGAGTCCTTGCAGAAGTTCCCAGCAGGTCATATTTGACTGAAGGAACCATCATGAGGTGCTGCGTTCGGCTATGTCCTCATAGGGGAGTTTGCTGAAGCAAGGACCCACCATCATCTCCCCACTTCCAAGGCGTTGACCTCGATACCGGGTTCTTCAGTCGTGGTCTGACTGGATGATGAGTAGATCCAACGCCATACGTCACATGTTTCTCCCTCAAAGGGTCCCACAAGGAACTCCTGCAGAGTGGACCTTTCTGGACAAGTGCCTAACTGCATAATTCAATGAGGTTCAAAGAGATGCTATTGGAATGCTTGGCGATCTTTAAAACGCACACCGCGGCCCTTTTCGTTTGCTTGGCTTTCTGCCCCCCGGCTCTGGCAGCTCTGCTTCACCTCAGGCAGCAACAGCTTTTCGGAGACCAAGAGCTTAACACTGCCAGAGTCTGCCGTGACCGGCTCTGCACGGTTGCAGGCGCATGAGACAGCGATGGGGAACATGGTGGATTCGGTCGGTTGGCAAGGTGAGTAATGGTGCGATGTGCCAAACTGTTTGATAGAGAGGTGGGGAAGAGGTCAGGGAGACGAAGCTACGAATTCACGGAGAGCAGCTGGTGGAGTAAAACCAGTTTATCCATGAAGAGAAGCAGTTGGGGCAGGGAAGGGACAATCCGGTGTTGGGCCGGGCGCCGTGTTGACGGGGGCCGTGGTTCCAACCAGTTTGGTCGTCAACCTGTGGCTGCCACATTTGCGGCGATTCCCGTTCCTGCAGCGATGTCTCTAATTCATTGTGTTCGCTTGAATCATACATCATATATCACGGTTGCATGAATGCAGATGGTGGAGGATGTAGAACCTGAGGGAGCGTCGACAGGATGGGGGACGGAGGACTATAATTCAGCGTTCAAAGGACATGATTTCGCTCACAGCTCCACTTCTGGGTAGAGCATCGACACATGAAGGCATGCTTCGTTGGTGTCTCAATCAAACCACCCCCCCTTTGCTTTGAGCTCCAGAAACAAATCCTCCTCATGCTTTGGGCGCCCAAACGAATTGGTCTCCGCCGTCGTCGCACCGCTCGTCTTCGTCGTCGGCGAGGTCAACGCTGTGGGTGACATGTTGGGCCCCAGCATCAGTGGACTGGATCGTCTTCTCCGCATCCCCACAGGCGCGTTTGGGCGGCATGGCAGTCGTTGGCACGTATTTGGGGCGGCGCGAACGTGCCGTGCTCCGGGAAATAGCGGTGGGGGAGCTTTGGAATGGTTTTGAGGTGTGTGGACAGACCAAGTGCGCCCAGAAAGAGACAGACAGCAAGTTGCACTTCACTTCCTGTTGGTGTGCTGTCGGTGTCCTGCAAGGTGACTGAACCGTTTTTTAATCAAAGAGCAGTAGGAGAGCCCGGGATGCCATTTCCCAATGTCACTGCTGCTCAATTGCCATGATGAGCAGTGAGAAAGTTGTTTCCAACCTCGCTGAATGGTTGTTGGCGGGGTGGGACAATCTTATCAAGATTCTAGCGGGTTTGCTAAGCCACATGAAAGGACCCCATGGGCCCACGTCACTCAAGTCTCATTCAACACCTCTCAAACAAGAGCATTGTTTAAGAATCATTTCCCAGTTGTTGTCGCAGTGGGAAGTTTTTTGCGATTCAGGACAGTATTCCGAATCATTCGCCCGCTTGCGGGGTGTGCCACCGCGAAGGCTGTGGGGAGCAGAACATGATCACCCTGGCGCCCAACGTCTACGTGGCAAAATATCTCAAGGCCACAGGAAAGATGTGCCTCGGACGCCGAAGGCGGACGGAAGGCGGTAGCGGCGGCATAGGTATGTATGTGTTTAGGGATGTTTAGGGTTTAGGGTTTAGAGTATGTGACTGTGTGTTGTGCTATGTTTTTTTTGTTTCTAGGTGTACTAGGTATGAAACAGGAACAAGGTGTACTAGGTTATCTATAGGTTATCCTTTTAAAGAGAGTTCACAGTCGTGGTTGCCAACTGGCTGGGCAGAACAGATGCATTGTCGACTAATCAGTTAGAGCAAGAATTAAAATCGCCGAGGACACCAGACCAGCGAGAGCGCATCATCAACAACATGGTGGTAGGCTTGAAGGGCACCGTCCGCGGTGGGTGCGGAATGCAGCGATGGTCCACCACCAAGTGGGGATGATTTACGACAAAACACCAGAGTACGGCATGACAACGTCGGTGAAGGATTCCCTTCATTCTGTATGCCAGTATAGGGTATGGCCCAAATACAGCGGACACCGTGGATCTTCACTTGGGTTGGCCAAGCGGGATACGTTCACCCAAACCAGCTTGGAAGGTTGTGCAGAGTGATGGTTGAAACATGTTGAAATCAAAGATGTTCCTCTACCTCTACTGCAAAACATGTCAAAACAATTCAAAACATACGGGTTATAAACACAAGTCAGAGGAGTAGATCGCAAAAAGTCCTAATCCATAGTTCCAACATGTTCCAACCTGTTCAACACAACTGCACAGCCCTCCTGTTGGAGAGAAGAGGTCAGACTAAGAAATTCTCGCTGTGTTCTCAGATTTGGTTGATCTAGACCACCAGGATTTCTGTGGGTCTGTGGGGTGTTGAATTCACGGGAAGATTCAGCTTAGTAGGTTATGTTGAATTCTATGGGGTGTCGATTTCTGTTCACCCTACGCTTGGTCAGCATTTCACCTCAAATTTGGCACAGCCGAACACCACCACCGTGCCGTGAGAGAGTCGTCGTCATGTGATGATTCCGGCCTGCGTCGTTTCGGAGAAAAAGCTCTCCCAGGCGAGGGGGTTGAGTAGAAGTTCTGGAACACTGAGGAGTTCAGAAAGCCTCATCCCACCGGCGAACCGCTTGGCGAACGGGTGGGTGGCGCGCGCCACGCTGCGGCGAAGCACGGTGCGATCGACCCGGAGAGGCTATGGGCGTCAGCTCACCTACCGGCACGATGACGGCTCGTTCTCGGCCTTCGGGAAGCGCCTCGGAGCAGGGGCCCGATCGCTAAAAAAATGGGCTGGCTGGAGTTGGGGAGGTGGAAAGGACGACGACCTTTGAGTGATGTAGACTCTTGACTTAATAAACCTCCCCATATGATGCCGTTTTACACGGTTTTACACATATGATGTGGAGGGGTTTATTAATCAAGAGTCTACATTATTTGGGTTTCTTGATAGTCAAACTAGCAATCCACCAACCCGCCGAATTTCCACACAATGTTTTGTTGGATCAAAGCTTTGATCACATTGACGTACTGTACTGTAGATTGACAGTGAAACTAGTCATAGTATGCATGACATTGCATGACAGAACCATTACTGTATTGTTAATTATGACATATTATGTTTTTTTTTCAGTTGGGTAGTCCAAACCAGATCAGCATGTTGTATGGTCCCTTGCTCTCACCTTCAGATTCATCCAGCATCAACGCAGACATTTTAAGGGACGAGGAATGGTGCGAATGCAACAATTCGCAAGTGGTTTAAGCACCAGCCCAGCCATAATTGATAGATACCCAGCACTTGATGGACTGCACCCTTGATGGATGATGTACTTGAGAACCACTAATGAGGGGATTGTCTTCAGGGTTTGTGCGAGACAGATGGGGGGCTTCAGGGAAGACCTGCATGGAGAAAGCACAATCGAAAGAAAACCCGCATCCTTCCTTTAGCGAGGAAACAGGGTATGAGATGCGTTAAGAGTTTAGCACCTTGATGTATACTTATTTGCAGCCTTTTTCTCTTGTAAGAGGATCAACCGTCTGCAGTACCTACCAAATTCTTTTTGCAGTTGCATTCTTTTGCAAATGGTACATTCCAAGAAGGAATCGTTCAGTCCAAAGTCCATTTCTTGAACTTTCAACGTTTGTGTTTTTTTTCCTCTTCACCCTGAACGATTCCATTAGGTTCCAGTGGTAAGCCTTCCTCTCCTGATTCCAAGACCTGAATCCGGCAGCACCCAAGGAGGCCAAGACCAGCACCCTAGGTGTCTTCCAAGACCAGCACCCCCCCAACAGCCGGTCCAACGCCTCCGTATGAGGGTCCATGAGCGTACCTGGTAGCCCCTTTCGCTTCAAAGGGTGATTGGCCGACTCCAGGTCACCTGGAGTCATCGATCGACCAAAGCGAAAAAACACCGAGTAAGTAGGTCAACCAAGGTGGTGCCAATGGTCAAATGTTCCACAGGTCTACCACCTGTGGTGGTGCCATGTCAACAAACTTGACAGCCAAATCTCCACATTTTCCCCACAGATCACCACCATCCGCTCCCGCAGCTGTCGGGAACACCCCATCGCCGCCCGGGGCTCTCGCCAGGAGCGATGGCTCCGGGTCTACCTGGCTGACCTCCTTCGTGTTGCGCGTCTTCGTCGAGGTCCAGGCCAGAGATGGAACTGAATGAGCCTGGTGAGCGAGTCGACAGTCCTGGACGGATTGGAGCGTTTGGGATGTTGTTTTGGGGGAACACCAAACTCCAAGCGCCAAGATGCACAGGAATGCTTTGAGAATGGAAGGACTGGGATTGAGATGGTTTGTAGATAGAAGAATGGTGGAAAGTTTTTAGGGGTGGTGTGAATTGTTGTCTTGTTTCCTGCCGGTGAGTGCTGCGGCTGCTACGAAGCCTCCCTATTTAGTTTCGTAGTGCTTTCTTTGGTTGAACGGAATTATAGCCTGGCAGGTGTGCATGCAGCGGATCAGCAATGAAGAGTGGGACCCAGACTGGCGATATGACAGGAACATAAAGGGAAAGCATCAACTATACCCAACTGCTACTTCTATGAGTAGGCAGTAGGCAATCTAGTTCTCCCATGGCCCCCGCATGGACACAAAGCAGTGGCTTCATACACTTCCCAAATCTTCCAGATGTGGCCCCTGTTTTTCAAACTCCCCTGCGACTTCTCCATGGCGACTTCTCCATGGCTGTTTTTCACATGCGATTGAACGAGAGTCGCATGGTTTGGAGGCCATCTCTTTCGGATGAATTTGGTTGGGAAGACAAGTCTGTTCCGATGAAGTGCTCCCGCAGTTGGCCTTTCCGAACGCAAGCAACACAAGTGCTGCACTCTTTTCTTCCTCCGTCGTGGGTTCCAAAGGCGGTCGGCTCGATGCCAGGAAACTGGCTTGGTTTTTGTGGACCAAGGTGGGTCCTGGGGTCGGAGGTGGGTAGTTGGTGGGCAGGAACCGTGACTCAGATGATGTTCGTTAGGTAAATCCCAAGCAAATCATGCGTTTGTGGTTTTCTTTGTTTTGCCTTTCGATTGTTCAGAGCAGCTTGGTAGCTTTTCAGATTATTTGTGTTTGATCAAGCATTCAAGCAGTCACTATATAGTGTGGTACAGAGTGGTACATCTGAGGTTCATCCGGTTCAGCCTCTACAGGAAGACCATCAAGACTGATTTGGCAGAGGATGTTAGAGTTTCTTTCTCAACTCAACCTGAACCTTTTTTGAACCTTTTCATATCATTGCTGTACTCATTTTACAACTGAGGAGTGAATGGTCCAGGTTTGTGTGCCTGTCGTGTTTTGGTATATCCCGGGTGGAGGACTTCTGGCTATAAGATGCAAAGCCCAATGAGCCCAAATCATCAACAGGAGCGTCAGAAAGAAAAGCTCTTGTGGAACTGGGGTGTCAGAAGACACCCATGGTGCTCGGTGGAGGTCTTGAGATGAGATCGTCCATGTCGGCTCGTGCTTGCATGCGGTCGGAGACATTGACCAAACATTCGGAGGTCGGACCTCGACAGAGAATAGCCCCCAGAATCTTCTTTAGCACATATACTCCTCAAAACACTTCAGAGGAGAAACAGACATACCAACAGAGGTTGAAGGACCCTACAGCCTATCCCATAGGTACCCCAGTAAGGTCCTGTTTACGGTCACTTAACCTCTCTTGGTAGACCAAGTTGAAAGTGGAAGCCAAGACTCGCCGGGCTCCACCAGGAACCCGTACCAACCTCGACTCGTTTCGTCTCCCTCCGAACCCCCGGGAAATGGTCAAAGGGGGGTTCTGGGGAGTTTTTGTTCATCATCCCCTAAGGATCCAAGTACCCTCTGAGAAAGTGTTTGGGGAGGCGAGACAAGGTACTTGGAAGGTACTTGGATCCCTAGGGATCCTCCTCGTTGAATTTTTTTTTGGCTCTTGAACATTTTTGTTGAGCCTTTGTCGTTATTCTCTGGGGGGGTTCTGGGGAAAATTTGGTGCCAAAAGTCACTCTGTTCGGTGATATTCAACGAGGAGGCTGATTGTTTAGGTTG